TAAATTAAATCTTTACTAAAGTATTTTTATTTAAAATCATTGATAATTTTTTATTTAAAGTATTGAATATTACATAAAGATAATTTTTTATTTATATATAATTGTTTTTGCGTAGTTGTTAACTAATATAATATATAACTAATATGGGGTAGTGATGTAGTAGTGGAGCGCTTGCCTCATAAGCGAGAAGTTCCGAGTTCGATCTCCACTACATCCCCGGTAGTACCACGCTCAACTTGTTTCTCTGCGCAGCGGCCTTTTTTGTAGAGGTTTGTGTTTTGGAGTTATATAGTTTAGAGAGGGTTGTAACTACAAAAAGTAGCCTCCTCGGTTGTAGTAACCTTTTTGGCCTTTAGGAGGTAAATAATTAAAAAAAAAAAAAAACTTGCATGTGTTTATATAAAAATTTGCTATTTTTAATTAAGTAAAAAAAAAAACAATAAAATAAATTTAAGTTTATTATTCCAAGCGTAATGAAAAACTCTAAGCTGAATTTTTAAACTTTCAAAAAATTTAAATTGTCTCAACCTTTGTTTATAAAATGAGATTCTCTGCTAAACAAAACAAAATGATGGGTTTGTGTGACAATTTGCAATAAATTCGGGATGTAGTAAGTATGTAAATAAATGAATTTTTAAATTTTATTTAAAAATGAAAAATACTAAAAAGTGGAAAAGCTAGCTACAGTTTCTGATGCAATTAGACATGAATGCTGTTTGGAATGCTATTTTTTTGCTATTTTTTTGTGCTAGCATGAAAGTTCAAAATTTGTGTTTTCATGTGGCCAATGTTGGCTGGTTATGGTTGTCGTGTTGTCGTGTTGGAATTTTTTAAATATATTTTGCACAGTAGTTTCGATTATCAAAAGAAACATTACTAAGGATTGTCCCATTCATTAATTTATATAATTTTATTTAGGACTACCACCCTTATATATATATATATATATATATATATATATATATATATATATATATATATATATATATATATATATATATATATATATACAGTGGTTTTCATAAATTTAGACGCACTCATATTTGAGAATATAAATTTTTAGTTTTTTAACGATAAAACAATGACGAAAAAAGATTTTGGTTAAGTTTTTTTTCTATTTATTAGATAAATACATACAGAATACAAAACTTAAAAAAAGTTTACAAAAAAAAATGAAATACTTAGTAATAATTAGGTACAACTACATGGTATTAAAAAAATTAGACAAAAAAAATTATTCATAAATTTAGACGCACGATACATTAGAAGGCGTAATTTATGAACCAATCAATATTTTGTGTATCCGCTTTTTGCTTTAATACAACTAAGAACTCTTCTAGGCATAGACTCAACAAGATTTTTGTGCATCGCTTCTAGGACCCCATACCAGGTCTCCTTAAGGAATTCCTTCAGCTGACCAAGTGTGGAAATTTGAACCTTTGCTAATTCACGGTCAATCCAAGCCCAAATGTTTTCAATCGAGTTCAAATCAGGTGAGTATGGAGGCTACGGTATTGTCATGATATTATTATTGTTGAACCACTCCTTTGTATATTATACAGTAAGTGCAGTAGCGCCATCTTGTTGAAGTTTCTATGGTTTATCATTGAGCATAAGCAGGTCAATTGATGGAATTAGGTTGTTTTCCAGTACTTCTACGTATATTCTGGAGTTGATTCTTCCGGTGTATGTTTGGCACATACCAACACCTTTGTAATTGAAGCATGACCAGATTCCTATCGAGCCTTCTCCACTTTGTACAGTCGGTCTAATGTACCTGGCGTAATACTTTTCGTGAGCCATTCTTTTGACTGTTATGTTAGATTTGCGATTGATAAGCTCAAAGTTACTCTCATCACTTCACATAATGTTTTCCCATTGCTCTATTGTCAAATACCTTCTTTCACGACACCATTTTAGTCTCCTTTGTTTATCATATGGACGTAGAAGCGGTTTCTTCAAAGCAGTGTAGACTCCAATCTTGTATTTGATAAGTATTCGGCGGACTATGCTTTGAGAAATAGATGTATTTCGCGTTGTATTGAATTCTGTGGTCAATTCTTTGTAACTAATTCTTGGATTAGCTCTGACAGCTCTAAAACGAACACTGTCGTCCATTTTGGTGGTTGGCAAGGGTCTACCTGGCCTCGTTTTCTCGCTGGCACCACCAGTGTGAAGAAAGTTTTGTTTCGTTGTCCGAACGCATTTCTCAGAAAATCCAATTAACTTGGCAATTTCTCTATTACTTTTGGTTCCTTCTTTGATGTGCGCAATAATTTGCCATCTTTCACCTTGAGTGATACGTCTTTCGCCCATTTTTCGCGTCTTTTTAGTGAAAAACTAACAACTTTTGTTTATTTATTAAATAATGATTAACTAATTCCAGGTAAGTCATATTTATAAAAGGTTTTTTGACAAAATCAATTAATTTAGGCCTATTAATGAGAAATATGGGAAAAAACTACTAATTAACTATCAATTAACAAGATATAAGACTTTTTTGATTGTGCGTCTAAATTTATGAACAAAATAAAATCAAGCTTATCAATTAACTTTTTTGTGTTAATCGGTATAGAATGAGAAATAAACATCCTGTAAAAAAATGAAGGTACTCTATAATAGAGTTTTACTTCCACTTTTAAATTATATATCAAACATAGCGGTAGCACTTTTATTTTATTTTTATTTTGAGTATTTTCTTACATATATGAAAAAAAAATGAATGCGTCTAAATTTATGAAAGCTACTGTATATATATATATATATATATATATATATATATATATATATATATGTATACATATATATATATATACATATATATATATATATATATATATATATATATATATATATATATATATATATATATATATATATATATATATATATATATATAATCCACACATAATTAGCAGACCATGTAGAGACTACTGCATAGCTTATAGCTTATTGCTTGTGATACTATGTCCTATAAATAAGTCAAGTTCTCTTTATTTTGTTTTCATTCAGACCTTCACTACCACTTAACTGTTTCAATACAATAATTTTTACAAATAATATATTTTTTACAAATTTTAAACTTTCAGTTGAATCATACTCTAGAGACTGTTGGAAATTCTTCAACTATATAGTAAAAAAAGAGTTAAACAGTAAAAAAAGACACAACTATTTGCAAAGAGTTAATTTGACTCTTGAATTTAATGGCAATACTCTTCCAGCTAAACAGGTTAACTCATTTTTAGACATCCAAATCACTCCAACTTTTGTTGCTAAAGCCATTTCTTGATTAAACTCTTCTATGGCTTGTGATCAAGGCAGCATTCCTGTCATAGTTTTACAAAAGGGTTCTTCAAAACTCTCTTTAATTCTCTATAAACTATTTGATAAATGCATGACTTTTCCTGATTGCTGGAAAATGGCATCTGTGGTTCCATTTTTTAAAAACTCTTCTGACCTTAAAACAATCATCTGATCAATCTCTATTATTAGCAAAGTCTCTGAGTCTTTGATCAACTAATTTCAAACATCTTGAGTCTAATAACTTAATATCTAACAATCAATATGGTTTTTAATCTTCTCATTCTATGGCTAACTTGCTAACTGCTATGACTGAAAGATTCTATCCTGCATTAAAAGAAGTGGTGAGGCAAGGGCATATATAAAGCTTTTGATAAAGTTTGGCATGCTGGTCTTCTTTATAAGCTGGCTTTATATAGTGTATTTTGAGAACAAATCATTTCTTTCGAACCGCTTTATAAAAGTCATCCTTAAAGGCCAGCATTGTTCTTCATTTCCAGTAACTTTTGGGGTACCTTAAGGTTTTATTCTTGGTCCTGTATTGTTTCTTATCTACATTGATGAACTTCCTGACATTCTTACATCTAAAGCGGTTCTATTTGCTGACAACTCAATTTTATACTTTTGTCTTGACAAAAAGTCTTCTTTTTTCGATTGCTTAGAGCAGCTGATCTTGAATCTGATTGAAGCTGATCTCACTCCTCTAACAGCTTGGGGCTTGCAATGGCTTGTGAATTTTACCAAAACTAAAAAAAAAAACTCAGTTTTTTACTGCAAATAGCTATTGCGATACTGTTAACATTCCTAAATTAATAAATAGCTCTCACTGATTATAGTTCACTACTGACCTCTCATGGAAACCATATATACAAATGATTGCAAAGATAGCATCTGCTAAGATTGCTTCTTTTTATCGTGCTCACCATTATATTTCTCCTGATTTTCTTTCTTCTTTCTTTAAAAACTTCTCATTATGGATAATTTTTGTCATATTTGGGCTGGTTTTTCTAACAATCACTTTCTCTTCTTGAAAAGGTACAAAAATGCATTGTAAACGTAGTTGGGTTTGCTTTATCTACAAAGCTTGAGCCTCGCTTCCATTATTGAAAAGTTGCATCTCCTCTTTTTTACTAATACTATCATGGTCGCTGCTCAAAGAAGCTATCATTTCTAGTTCCATCAACCAAAACTCATTCTAGCTTGACTCATCGTAGTAAAGTTGCATCCTTTAACAGTATCTGTCCCTGCATGCCCTAAAAAATTTTTATCATCTAGTTTGTTTCTCCACACTTTAATTTTTCAGGACTTTTTCCCATTTTCATGTTTTCTTGACTCATACAACTTACAATTTTTCAAGTTTTTAATTTTTTGAATTTAATTAACTTTTGCTCAGAACTTTCAAATGAGTAACAGAATTTGATTGTCACACAAACTTATAATTTTGTTATAGAAATTAATTCAACTTGTTTTCACCACAAATCATTGTTGTTGATTAAATACACGCATTTACAGCGCTGTTAAACCCTTTTTTCAAGTTTTACATGTTTTACAAAAAATAAAATAACGTCGTCTTATTGTTTAAAAAACTTATTGTTTAAAATTGATTTAAAGATGCTAAAACTGGTGTACTGGATACTTTTTGCCGGATATTGAACTTTTTTAAAGTTCTATATGTGTTTATGAAAAAAACAAACAAGTTATACCAGCATTTACAGTTTTGTATAAAAATAATAATTAATTTTTTTTTTTTTAAAGTTTGTAGCTCAAAACTTGAACCATTGTCAATTTACCATATTCTGGAATTGAACACGTTTTTAAGTAGCAATACTAAATTGAACACGTCTTTAAGTAGCAATACTAAATTATTGAATCTTGAGAATGTCACTTTAACCTGCATAAAAATTAAAAAGATAAGAATTCAGAAATCATTAAATTGTTTGGTTAAAATAACTTTAAAGTTACTTATTAAATTTCTCAAGATTAATTTTGAACTTTATCTTGTCCAGAAATTCATTATTTTTTATATTCATTGTTTCTAATATAAAAATCTTGAGCATCTTATTTCCTTACCTGAAACTTTGCCGTGTTTAACACACTTTTCTGACAATCGTTGTTCGATACAGTCACTATTTCTTATCTCTGTTTAAGATTATAGCCTCTTTACTTGTCTTATCGCACCAAACATCCATCTGATAACCATCTTCTCTTTGGCATATTCTATAAATGTTTAAAGATAATGTATGCCGGCATATAAGTACATAGCTAACATATATGTTATTATTCATATATATCCATATTATGTATGCATAAATGCGTCTATCATATTACCTTCTTTATTCAGGTAGGTATGAAAATTTTGTACCTTTTTGTCGGTTTCAAGTCAAGGGTTTTATTTAGCATTTACAGTACTGTTCAAACCCTTTTACAATAGCTAATTGTTGATCTAGAGACTGCAGACTGTCTGTCAAAATTGACAAAAAAGGCCATTTGTCTAGGTTAAAAATTGTGTCCAAGTTGCCGCAAAATTATTTAACTGCAAATTCTGCATATAAATCAAGTTAAAATGTTAAAAATAATGTTGTCATAGATGATATAATATGTTCAAGTGACATTCTAAATACTAGTCTTTCTGAAATTGGGTTTTCACTTTTAAGAATGAAATGTGTTAGTAAGTGAGTTCTTACTGGTTATGTAAAAAAAAATTAGAAAGTGCAAACAACTGTTGCTAAAATAATAGATTTTGTCAGTGGTTTATTAACAAATAAAGTCCTACCACTAAGCAGTGCCATTGTGCAGTGTGGAAATTGTATTTACTTTTCGAATTTGTTATTAGAATTGAAGGGGAAAATGTCAACACTTCTGAACAGTTGGTCCAGAACAAAAATATGTAGTGAAATTAAAGTATCAGAGAGAAGGTAGCAACAAATTTAAAGTTTTATTGATCCAGTTGTTTCAATTGTTTCATCTATAATTTAAGATAGTAAGGACAACTACACATGTAATTTGTCATGTATAATTGTCAGGTCAGGTTATCCTGGTAATATTTATAATAATATTTATTATAATAATATTATTGGTAATATGTAACTCATTACAACCTGCTTTATGTCCTGCTGCCTTGTAGAGTAGCTAGTAGAAGCCAACTTTGACTTCACAAACCCCTTTGTGCCTTGGGGCTTTTGGTTCAGTTAAGGTAAGAGACGGTGTCTCAAAAATACTCATCACAGGCAGACGTTAAAGGCATGCGGCCACTGTCTTGTAGAAGGCCTCCTAGGCAAAGACTTAGGAGGTAAACAGGTTCTATTTGTTGATGTATTTATAATACATTGTTTCCAGTTTAGGATGTTGAATGTTGGATCTCGATTAAATGCATGATTTTTGTTTGTCTCTGTTTTTATGACTAGGCAACTCATTCTATTATCTCCTAATGAGGGCACAGCTCTAAAACACAGTTTTATGGTTCTAAGACCGGCTGGTAGTCAGGTTTTTAGAACTCTGTGATAGCTCTCAGAGATGTTATTTCTGATTAAATTGACCAACCTCTTTCTCTTTATCCTTCAGCCAATATCATTGTTGTTGGTGACTTTAATGCTCATCACACTGAATGGCTTGGCTCTCAATGGCTGTCAGTGACAAGTGTTAAACCCCACGACTTTTCTCTATTTCTAATACAATTTTCCAACTCATTTTACAGAAAATCAGAATCATTTACCTTACTACTCAACTTACGTCTTGTTTTTGATCCTAGTCAGTGTTCAGTTTCTCCACATTTACCCTTAGGTGCTTCTGATCACGGTTTTATCTCTATAAAACTATTATCACATTCTTCTTCATCATCAGAATCCCTCTATCATCATACGTCTTATAACTAGGTCAGGTCAGGTTTTCCTGCTAGGTCAGGTCAGGTTTTCCTAGGTCAGGTCAGGTTTTCCTGCTACTGGTAACATGTAACCCAGTACAACCTGCTCCATGTCCTGCTGCCTTGTAGGATACGCTTTTTTAGGCAAAGGCTAGGAGAAGTTAACTCCGAATTAAAACACCCCCTGCCTTGGGGCTCTTGGTTGAGTAAAGGCTAGAGATGGTGTCTCGATAAAAATACTCATCTTGGGCAGATGTTACATGCATCCAGCTGCTGTCTTGTAGAAGGCCTCCTAGGCAAAGACTTAAGGGGTAAACAGATTCTATCTGTTGACCAGCCTCGCACCCCTTCCTCATCTATTAGGCTGGCGCAGATGTATTTTTAATACATTGTTTCCAGTTTAGGATGTTGAACGCTGATCTTCTTGACTCAATGCGTGGGTATTGCTTGTGTCTCTATTTTTATGACTGGGCAACTCATTCTATTATCTCCTAATGAGGGTACAGCTCTAAAACTCAGTTTTATGGTTCTGAGGCCGGCTGGTAGTCAGGTTTCCCGAACTCTGTGGTAGCTCTCAGAGAGGCTGATTCCATCAACAGCTGAAAAATATCAGAGTACTAACAGTGCCATGTTGCGCATGGATGGTGTCCCTGTTTGTACTTTTGGTGTGCATTGCAGAGGCCACATTTGGAGCCCTTTGTTACGGCTTAGGGTTTATTAATAGTAATGAGGCTATTGCTTAGTTGTTAAATAGTGTACTGAGTACTATCTATACTTGAGTCAAGTTCTTTATAAATTTAAAATGACTAAAGTACCTAAAACTAAAAAACACAAAAAACCATCGCCATCACCAAGTTCTCTAAACCTATCATTTACTAATATTCGTGGTCTTCGAAGTAACTTTTCTTCTGTTGAGTCTTATCTCTTGCAAAGTTCACCAGACCTACTTGCTCTTTGTGAGACTAATTTGAGTTCGGCTGTCCCATCTTGTGATCTTAGTGTTGATGGTTATCTTCCTTTAATTCGTAAAGACTCCAATAATCACATGCTTGGCCTGGGCATCTACATTCGTAAGAACTCACCCATTTGTCGTGAAACTAGGTTTGAATCTACAGACTATTCATTTATGTGCTTTCGTTTAGCACAACTTCACTCTATCGCCTTTCTCTTTGTTCTATATCGCTCTCCTTCATCCCAAGATTGCACTATTCTTGATGTTATTTCTGATCAAATTGACCAAGCCCTCTCACTTTATCCATCGGCCAATATCGTCGTTGTTGGTGACTTTAATGCCCATCACACCGATTGGCTTGGCTCTAGTGTCAGTGACTCTGCTGGCGTTAAGGCCCTCAACTTTTGCCTTTCTCAATCTCTAACTCAAATAGTCAACTTTCCAACTCGTTTTCCAGACAACCCTAATCATTTACCTTCTCTACTCGACTTATGTCTTGTTTTGGATCCTAGTCAGTGCTCAATTTCTCCACATTCACCCTTAGGTACTTCTGATCACGGTTTGATCTCTCTAAAACTATTATCAAATTCTTCTACTTCATCAGAATCCCCCTATCTTCGTACCACATACAACTACCTTAAAGCTAACTGGGACTCTTTCCGTGATTTTCTTCGTGATGGCCCTTGGGTAGAAATCTTTCGTCATCCTGCTGACAAATGTGCTTCTTACATAACTTCGTGGATTCAGGCTGGCATGGAATCTTTTATTCCCTCTCGACGATTCCAGGTCAAGCCTCACTCTTCTCCTTGGTTTTCCTCACATTGTGCTGCAGCAATTTCTAATCGAAACCGTTACTTCCATATCTATCAGCAAAACAATTCTCCAGAAAACAGACATCTGTTCACTATCGCCAGAAACCATTGTAAAAAGGTTTTGTCTGACGCCAAAGCTCTCTATTCCCAGGTCATTAAATCTCGTATCTCATCACAAAAATTAGGCTCTCGAGACTTCTGGAGAATCTTTAACAGTATCAATAATAAGGGCAAATCTGTTATTCCTTCTCTCTTGTATGGTTCAGATTTGTTACCTCACCTAAAGACAAAGCTGAATTGTTTGCTAAGAACTTTTCATCAATATCATCTCTTGATTCCACTAGTTGCGTTTTACCTGACATAGCCGTCAAACAGGTTGATCCCTTGCTTGACATTCGCATCACTTCAGCTTCTGTATCTAAAGTAATTTCCTGCTTAGACTCTTCAACAGCTTGTGGTCCTGACAACATTCCTGTTGTAGTCTTGCAGAGGTGTTCTCCGGAGCTTTCATCCATACTTTCTAAACTATTTAACAAGTGCTTATCAGAGTCTTGTTTTCCATCATGCTGGAAAGCAGCATCTGTTATCCCTATTTTCAAAAATTCCGGAGAGCGATCTGATTCATCTAACTACCGTCCCATTAGTCTTCTTCCTGTCATAAGCAAGGTTTTTGAATCTTTAATCAACAAACACTTAATCTCTCATCTTGAATCAAATAACTTACTTTCTGATCATCAATATGGATTTCGGTCTTCTCGTTCTACAGCTGATGTACTAACAGTAATAACCGATAGGTTTTACCGTGCATTAGATAGAGGTGGAGAGGTTAAGGCTATCGCACTTGACATTTCTAAAGCTTTTGATAAAGTTTGGCATGCTGGTCTTCTCCATAAGCTTTCTTCTTATGGTGTAGCTGGTAACGTCTTTAAGATTATTGAGTCCTTTCTTTCCAATCGTAGTATAAAAGTTGTCCTCGATGGACAACACTCTTCTTCACATCCTGTAACTTCAGGGGTTCCTCAAGGTTCAATCCTTGGCCCTATACTCTTTTTAATTTACATTAACGATCTTCCAGATATCCTCACATCTAAGGTGGCATTATTCGCTGACGACACTACCATTTACTCTTGTCATGATAAGAAGCCTACACTCTCTGATTGCTTGGAGGGGGTATCTGAGCTTGAAAAGGATCTCACTTCTGCTACAGCATGGGGCTCACAGTGGCTGGTGAACTTTAATTCAGATAAAACTCAATTTTATTCGGCCAATCGTTATCGTAATAATTTAGATCTTCCTATATTTATGAATGGTAATGTACTAGATGAGTCATCTACCATTCATCTTCTAGGATTAACTCTTACTTCTGATCTTTCTTTTAAACCGTATATCAAATCCATTGCAAAATTAGCATCTGCTAAGGTTGCATCTCTTTATCGAGCTCGACACTTTCTTACTCCAGATTCTATTCTCTATCTCTATAAATCTCAAATCCGTCCCTGTATGGAATACTGTTGCCACATCTGGGGCGGATCTTCTAATGATGCTCTTTCTCTTTTAGACAAGGTGCAAAAACGAATTGTAAA